CTGCTGCTGCCCAAGTAATTTGCTCTGTTCTGAGGTCACTAATAAAAAGTTGAAGTTACCGTTCAATGCCTCATCTCCGTTCCTTGCGCCCATGCTCAGGACTTAACAGGAGGAACCCTGCTTTCGGAGTTGGACTAGGAGACCCTTCAACCTGAGGATTTCAATTCCCTCTGTGCTTTGTGCCACAACAATGACCGCACTTCTTTTGAACAGACAGCTTCCTACATGAAAGGCAGAGGCCAAGGGCCATCCAACAGTCAGCCGCTGGGTTGCCCTGTGATTTCTATTCCAAAATTATCTGCTCCCCTTGTGTAGGTTCAAAATATAGTCATTATTTCCCCAGTTGCCGAGGGAATAAGGTTGCGAGTTTGCCTTTAAAACCACCAGCCAGTGCACAGCTGCCCATTCTTGCTTCATGAAATGACAACACCTAGCGTGGCTATGGCAGCACGAAGGCTTTTCAGATTAAGTGTGGCCATCTCAGATGCCAAGAAACTGGTAGTAGGGGAGAAAGTCATGCTTCCCAACTCTTCTGATTGGCTCACGCTTATTTCTCTTCTCTTCTCATTTCTCTTCTCTTCTCATTGTTCATTCCTTTTCTGTTGTATGAACACAATGTAGAAGACCTTCCTGTGCTCCCTGACAGGTACTACAAACTTCTCCTTAAACACTAGGCATGGTGGGGCACCATTAAGGGACTGCAGGGCCTGTAAGAACCTCTGCCCAAGACAGCTTCCTGTCCACGAGGAGCTTGCAGATGGGCAGGCTGAGTGGCCAATCTTAGAAAGGAGAGACTGAGCTAGATGGATGTTCTTTGATATGCCACCCTCTTCCTTTGGTCAGCACTGTCGAGGCACAGAAACATGGCATGCAGCATGGCGACACATCTTCATCCATAGGGGTAAGGATGGTTTTGCAACATGGCCTGTGGGGGTTCAGGCCTCAAAACTTGGTGGGAAAAGGGAGGAATTCTCACTTACGGAGACCTGGCCAGCCTAACAAACTCAAGAAAAGCCCCTTGGATTCATGATGGGGAAAATACTGGGAAATATTGGGAATCTGTCAACCAAATTTTCCATGTTCTGCTGTCTCTTTGCCCTCTAGAATGCAGCCCCTTCCTCCTGGGAATCCAGATAATGCTCTACCACATGCAGAGAACTTTGATTGTTACCTTCAAACAAACAATTATTACTTTCAGGTTCTGATGGGTGTTTGTCCTACCAGCCATAACCCACGGTTAGATGTGATGCCTAACCAAATTTTGTGGAGGTATGTATTCTCAGCTGAGGGATTCTGAAGCCCCCAAGAAGGCGGCTGCACAAAAGCCCTAAAGAGAAAGGCTGAAGGTTTGCAGAGGGGAGGCATCTCTACCCTCTACTTTTGCTTTTGCTAAAGGAAGAATGACTCGGGGCAACCCTATTGGCAGGTCTCTTAGTAGGTCTCTTAGACTTAAAGCCTCCAAGTGCCCACTCCTGAAAAAGGGCCCATGGCTAGCTTTGATCTTTGGCCCTTCAGTCTCTCCAGAAATGAGAAGAGAGTGAAGTGGAGGCCACACCTCACCACAATTTTGGAGACCTTCAATGAGTCATTAAAGTCTTATCAACTCCTCACCATGGCAATAGCAGAAGCCCTTTTTCTGTGGATTTGTCCATATGCCAAAAGACTGTTTCCTTTGTTATTTCAGTCTAAGTAGGTAGCCTCTCAGAAGGTGAAGACCCCTGCTTGTTTCACAAAGGGCTTGCAGAGTAGAAAAAGATGGACAGGCTAAGTGGCTCATCTTGGAAAGAGGAGGCTGAGCTTAAACATTTCACTTTCTTCCTCTCGATAGGGCTGAAACAGCAGAGAACAGGGCCAAGGAAAAGAACTCTCCTAATGGGGACTCAACACCTACCTCAGAGGTAAGAAAGGTTTGCAATGTAGCCGATGGAGGCCTATGCCATAAGTCCTGATTGGGGAGGAGAAAGAATGTTATATATCCTCCTAAACGTAAGATTTCCAAATGCTCTCTTGCTGTTGGTACTAGGGATAAATGCCCCCTATGCTTTAGCCATCTTGTTGGAATGCAGAGAGCTTTGGATTTAGCCTTGATGCTCTCATTTGCAGGATTTGATGAAAGTCCTAGTGGGAACTAACAGCAGGAGCAGCCTGGAAGACGTGGACTCCCATGATGCACTTCTGGATGAGGTGTCAGAGGGAAGCTGGGAGGAGGCTGCAGTGACTTCCGATGCCAGCAAGCCTTACAGTCCATGGATAAGAAAGACAAAGTGTTTTCTCTTGGGGAGGGACACAGTCCCTCTATTCAGTCTTCCTAACCTGAATGAACTGTGGAGTGCTCTTTGAACAGAATCTAAATATAGGCAGCCAAGTTCTTGTGCGATTGGTTCATTTACTGCAAAGCAGCACAGAATGGCCCACTGTAGTGGACTATTGTGCTAAATGGATGCGACCCACTCTGCTTATGCCTTTTCTTTTCCTGTGTCACCATCTCCGGCACCTTGCTGCTTCCAGGCAGGATTTTAACAGGGAAAAAGTAGAGAGCCTACTTTTCTGGGGGATGAATAGGATGGAAGTGGGGATTCCTCCACCTCCGGAAAGCCACAGAAACCTAGTTTTGGTCAAGCATCCCCATTCAATAGGCCCTCTTTTAGGAATTCTGAGTTTCTGTTGCCCTGATGGCTAAAGAGGAATCATTGTCATTCACAGGATTCTCCTGAAGAAGCAGAAGCCACAATAGGTGATCTCAGCAGCCTGCAAGATGTGGATTTCATGATTTTTGACATTTTGGATGAGGAGTGAGAAAAAGGCTGGGAGGCAGCTGCAGTGGATTCCAAGGCCAGCGATTCTTCCAGTCCATGGGTAAGAAAGACGAAGTATTTTCTCTTGGGGAGGGATGGAGGCTCTCTATTCAGTTCTCCTAACTGGAGTGAACTGTGCCGGAGTGCTCTGGGTGCTGGAGCGAGGTGACACCTGGCCCTTTAGACAACATACCTAGGCAAACTATATATATATGCACTTAAGCTCTGGTGCGATTGGTTCATTTACCGCATAGCTGCATCAGTGGTTCATCTTGGAAAGAGGAGCAGCTAGTTTGATTCATTAAACATTTCATCTTCTTCCTCTGCACAGGACTGATGTGTCGGAAGCCGTGGAACAGGAGCTTTCTCCCTCTCTCAGTGGGGACAAACCTTCCTCAGAGCTAAGAAAGTTTTGGAAACGGGGTGGAAGAAGGCTATGCCATAAGTCCTGAAGGGCAAGGGAAAAATTGTGTGATATATCTTCCTAGCCTTAAGGCTTCCAAAGGTCCTCTTGCTGTTGATACACAGGCACTGAATGCACCCTATGCTTTAGCGATCTTGTTGAGATGCAGAGAGCTTTGGATTTAGCCTTGATGCAGTCATTTGCAGGATTCGATGAAAGTCCTAGCGGGAACCAACAGCAGGAGCAGACTGGAGGACATGCACCACCTGAACCATCTTCTCGATGAGGTGTCAAGAGGGAAGCTGGGAGTGGCTTCCAGTGCCAGCGAGTCTTCCAGTCCATGGATAAGACAGTGTTTTCTCTTGCGGAGGGATGGAGGCTCTCCATTCACTTCTCTTAAACGGAGTGAACTGTGCTGGAGTGCTCTGGAAGCTAAAGCTTGATGATGCCTGGCTGTTGGGACAATTTAGATAGGCTAAATATATGCACCCAAGCTTTGCTGCCATTGGCTCATTTACTGCAAAGCAACAGGGAAAGGTCCACTACGTTCAGTGTCTTCAGTCAGTGCTTGTGACACCCACCCCTCTGCCGACCCCTTTCTTTTTTCTGCTTCACCCTCTCCAGCGCCTTGCTGCTTCCTTGCAGGACGTTAACGTGTAGATAGCCTACTTTCCTGGGGGCACTGGTGGGGTGGTATCTCCAATTCAGAGATGCATCCAGCAAGAGACACACTGTACAGGTCAAGCATCCCCATTCAGTAGGCCCTCTTTTAGAAACCCTGATGGCTAAAGAGAAATCATCGTTTCATAGGAAAGACATCCTAGATGATATCAGCAGCCTGGAGGAAGACTCCTGGGACCCCAATCTTTAATTCAAAGAAGTACCTATTTGAGCCTTTTCATGGATCCCTACCTTGTCGTGGTGAAAAAGCTTGCAAAACTGAAGGAAGCTATGAGTTATGCCATGCAGAGCCACCTAAGATGGACATGTCACAATCTACCTTGGGACTAAAGGGAAATCACTATCATTCACTGGACTCTCCCAAAGAATGGGATGATATGCTAGATGTCAACAGCCTGGAACAGGATGCCTGGAACTGCCACTATCTTCTGAGGATGGCTTGGAAGTATTGTGGGCTGCAAAAGCTTCCCCTCCAAACCTTTCCTGTCCATATGGTTTTGTAATGCAAAAGGTTTGACAGGCTGACTGGCTGATCTTGGAAAGGGAAGACTGAGGTTGCTGGATGTTCTTCCACGTCTCAACTTCTTCCTCCAGAAGAGCAGGAATTGATTGAGGAGCAGGAGAGACATGCTGATGAAGACACATCTGCTTGTTTAGAGGTTAAAGGTTTGGCAATGTTGCTAGTAGAAAGCATAGCTCAAGTCCTGGTGGGAGGTACTTACTCCTTTGTTGAGTTTTAAGGGTTTAGGACCCTTAAAAATGAAATTTCTAGGCAGTAAGTCAAGTTAAGGAGAGAAAGAATTCCTTTCCTTTCTCAAAAGAGCAAAAGGCCCTAATTTCTCCAGTAGAGATATGTCCGGGGGGGGGGGGGGGGGGGGGGGGGGGGGGGGGGGGGGGACGACGGACAGTGCATAAAGCACTCAATGAATGCTCTGATCACTTCGGAATGCTCAAAATGTTTCAGAGATGAATTCTGGATTATAAAAATGAATGTATGCAAAGAACAGGCCAGAGATAGCAACCAAACAGCAACTTAATCAGAATTTTGGCAGCCCTTTGAGCAATGCTGGTCCTCAAAGTCAAAGCAGGCGGAAGTTTCTCTCAGTTGTTCAACCTGGAGGTGGACACTCACTTAAAGATTATCGAGGGACATCTTCTGCTTTACATTTTCTTCCAAGATGTGGTCCTGTTTGAAAGGAGAGACATAATCTGTTAAGGTATTGAGTTTTAAGAGCTGACCAGATGTGGCTGATGCAGTAAGGCTGATGCAGTGAAGATGAATCAGCATTGGTATTGCCTATTTAAGACTAAGAAGGGGCCCACAGAAGTTTTACCACTTTAAGAGGTGTTTATATAAAGCAGCCATTAGTGGGCATGTATCCTCTCTCCTTGTGTCCTGTATCCATTGCAGATTTCTCCATGTAGAATTAAGAAGATTACTTGTAAGGTATTTGCCTACCATGTATATTTCTGTATATGTCTTGTATATAAACCACTGTTAAATGTCTAAGTCTCTGTGCTGTTTTGTTCCTGGGTTGTCTCATAGTGGTGGTCACGCTGCAAACACTCTGACATAATCATATCTTCTGCTCAGTTCAGGGATAATTTTCTTAACCTGTCTTCTCCAATCTGGCTCTTTCCTAATGTTTCGGAGTCCATCATCTTTTGCTAGCATGAAATGAAGTGGGCACTTAACAAACCAACATCTGCTGAGTGGTCTCTTGCAGAAGACGTCTTTAGATATAATTGGCACTCGTAAGTTTATGCATTGCATACATACAGGTAGTCCTTGACTCACAACCACAATTGAGCCAAAAATTTCCATTGTTAAGCAAGACAGTTGTTAAATATGTTTTGTCCCATTTTACACCCTTTCTTGCCACAGTTGTTAAGTGAATCACTGCAATTGTTAAGTTAGTAACATTTCTGTTAAGTGAATTGGGCTTTGCCATTGACATAAATTGTCAGGTCACAAACATGATCCCGTGGTCATTGACTTATGACCGTTTTTCGCACTTACAACCTTTGCAGCATCCCCATGGTCATGTGATCAAAAGAGACACGTGGTAACTGGCATGATGGTTGCACTGTCCTAGGGTCATGTGATTACCTTTTGCAACCTTGTAAAACGCAGAGCCAGTGGGGAAGCCAATGACACTTAACTGTGTTACTAACTTGAATAACTAGAGTGATTCACTTAACAACTGTGGCAAAAAGGTCACAAAGTTTGTGTTACTACCTTAACTACAGGTAAAAGGTAAAAGTTAAGGTAAAGGTTTCCCCTGTCCAATCAGGTCTAACTCTATGGGTGGTGCTCATCTCCAGTTTTTAGTGAAGGGAGCCAGCTTTATCTGAAGATATTTCTGAGGTCATGTGGCCAGAAAGACGATGCACTAAGATGCCCGGAATGTGGTTACTTTCCCACTGAAGTGGTACCTATTTATCTACTTGCATTTGCATGTTTTTGAAGCTGACAAGTTCAATGTCTTATCACTGATACAATTAACAACTGTGGCAAGAAAGCTCATAAAATGGGGCAAAACTCAATTAACAATTGCTTACAAATAGAAATATTGGACTCAATTGTAAAGTCAAAGCTGTCTGAGGCTGAAAAAATGGATCCCCTCTTCCAGAGAGTATATCCAAAGGTTTCATTGCACAATTTTTAGCATGGTTGTGCTAAAACAGAGAAGCAGAATTGTGTGCAGGGGGTCAAAAAAGTATAAATGTTTAGTGAAATTCTACCTCTTTTTTATGCCTGTTGCACGTAAAAGAGTTGGGGCTTCAATTATGCAGGAACAGCTGTTTTCTTGGCTTTTTTTTACTTTCCCTGATGCCTTGTTAGATGGGCAGGTTCTATAGGCTGCTGAAATGGAACCTGGTGGCTACTGTTCACCCCTCCATGTTTGCTCAAAAAACACACTCATGTTTGCAATTGGTTTGATGAAATAAGGTACACAAAACACTACCAGGAACCTGGGTAACTTGCTTCATCTACGCTAGGCAAGACCAGTTTAGACTAATGTACTATGTGAACTCAAGCATAGTGGGCACTTACCTCAGGATATAATGGTAATGAAGGCCCCATGGTGTACTTCCTGACCTGCAAGTATCCTCCCTGATTCATTGCTCTGCAATTTGAGAGAAGGCCAAGTCACATCAATAGCCAGCTGCCATCTTGGCCTTTGGCAACCCAACCCTACAGGGTATGGAAGTTTCACCTGAGCTGCAGCTGTCAAGAAACTCCCCTAGCCCTTTTATTTGGAGGAACTGCCTCAGAAACAGAAAGATAAGCACCTGGAATTTGTCTTGTTTTATTATTGCTTTTCCTTGGTATTGACTTCCTACTTTCTTCATTGTTCTTCTGGGACAGAAGAGATTGATACATTATATTGCCTTTCTTCTAAATGTTCAAGATAGCTTTCACTGCAGCTTCCTATTCTTTTATCCCAACAACAACCCTGTGAAGTAGGATCTCCCCCACTCTATCTATCTATCTATCTATCTATCTATCTATCTATCTATCTATCTATCTATCTATCATCTATCTATCTATTTGATTTGTCAATTGTTTACAAGATACAGGTATAAGAATAAACATAGTTTTGAATACATGAGATGGATACTTATAAGAAAAATAAAAAGAAACAATAGGACAGGGACAGTAGGCACAATTGGTGTGCTTATGCACGCCCCCTACAGGCCTCTTAGGAAGGGGGTGAGGTCAACAGTAGACAGTCTAAGGTTAAAGTATGTGGGGTTTGGGGAAGAAACCACAGTCAGGTAAAGTATTCCAAACATTGACCACTCTGTTGCTGAAGTCGTAATTTCTGCAATCAAGTTTGGTGCGGTTAACCTTGAGTTTGTATCCATTGTGTGCTCTTGTATTGTTATGATTGAAGCTGAAGTATTCATTTGCAGGTAGGACATTGCAATATATGATTTTATATACTATATTTAGATCAGACCGAAGGCGGCGTAGTTCTAGGTTTTCTAGGTCTAGAGTTTCAAGTCTGGTGGCATAAGGTATTCTGCAATGAATAGAGGAGCGGAGAACTCTTCTTGTGAAATATTTCTGGACTTTCTCAATTGTGTTAATATCAGATACATGATATGGGTTCCAGACTGATGAGCTGTATTCAAGTGTTGGTCTAGCAAATGTTTTGTATGCTCTAGTTAGTAGTGTGATATTACCAGAGAAGAAGCTACTACCACATTCTCAATTCTAATTCTGTGATACTTACAATTTGACTTTTCAAAGTTCTAGGACACTTTACTCTAAAGCAGCATGCAAAATCCTAATAATCAAAAAAGATAAAACAAAGTTAACCTTGAAAGTAATACAAACAGTTATCAGGAGCAATTATCACAATTTTTAAATTATTTGTTTTACATTACTAGCACATTTTCATGAAAGCATTTTAAAAGCCCTCAGAAATAAGAGTGGGAATCCAGCTCTCAATAGATAAAGTCCAGTCAGCTCTGAAATCATTTCACCCCAGGCCACTTTGCTCACATCACACTATTATCATTTGTTTAATAATTTATTCCATAAAAACAGTTGGTAGTTTTATACAATATCGAACATTGCAAATTACAACGTACAGCTTCACACATATTTAACTAAAATATCTCATATGGTGGTTTAGTGCAATGGGCCAATTCAGTCTTTTTTCTTTTTTACATTCTGAGAAGGATCTGGGATTGCTGTTTTGCTGGAAAGACTGAATCAGATGAATGCCTAATGCCTTGGAAGGATGACCCTTTATTATTATTAGAAGTGTGGTAGTAACTTTTCAGACTAGCACATTTCATTAGAAAGCAGATAATTTAAAAAGTTGTGTTTCTGCCCTTTTATCAAACTTCTTCGGATTTGGAGCTACCACAGACTAATACACTTGTCCTACAATCTCAGAAGGAATGTGGATCTATGCTGCACAAATTGGCACACACTTGCCACAAAATGTGCCCTACACATAATCTAGAAATCACTAGTTGTCCAGAGATGAAACTATAGTTAAAAGAGAACCAACCTGTAGTATTCCATGCTCTTTGAATATTATAGAGTCCATTTCAAATCTGTTATTCCCTTCCATGCACCCAACTAACATTTAGACGAAGTTAGTTCTGAAAATTTATTTTTTTAACTATTGAGTACTTCGATAATGACATGTTAAACGGGAAAAACACACAAAACCAGTATTAAAAGCAGCTCAAGTCTTTGCCTGCGCGCGCAGTTGCTCAACGGCTCTGCTTCCACGGGGTGGGACTTCAGAACGTCACTGAGCACGTGCGACCCAGCAGCCAAGCTGCCCTCATTCGTTTTAGCTTCACTGGCTGACAGAGCATGCTCCGGAAGGCCTCTGCCCAGACAGTGGGTTTAAAGATGGCAGGCGCGCTGCGTCCGTAAGTTAAGGCTGTGCTGTTGCAAGGAAAGTGAGCGGTGCTGTTAAGGAGTCTGGAGGCGTTTTCCTCTACTCATTTGCGGATTTTGAGGTAATCCACTATTGTCAAGGAGAAAGGGGAGATAAAACGTTAGGAGATTTCTAAAGATTTCTCTCTTTTTTTTTTTACTAGCATGGTCAAATTTCAGAATAGTCATGGAGGGTTAAGCTGCTGCTTAAGATCAGTGATTCCCAACCTTGGCAGCATTAAGATGTGTGGACTTCAACTCCCAGAATTCGCTAGGCAGAATCTTAAAAGTTGACATGGCTCATTTATTTTTATTTACGTATTTAATTTATATCCTATCTTTAGAATAGAATAGAATAGAATAGAATAGAATAGAATTCTTTATTGGCCAAGTGTGATTGGACACACAAGGAATTTGTCTTGGTGCATATGGTCTCAGTGTACATAAAAAGAAAAGATACAGTCAACAATCATAGGTACAACACTTAATAATAGTCATAGGGTACAATAAGCAATCAAATCATACTAGGAAACAGTCAATATAAATCGTAAGGATACAAGCAACAAAATTACAGTCATATAGTCACAAGTGGGAGGAGATGGGTGATAAGGAGTGATGAGAATGTTAATAGTAATAGTAGTGCAGACTTTGTAAATAGTTGGACAGTGTTGAGGACATTATTTGTTTAGCAGAGTGATGGCGTTTGGGGAAAAACTGTCCTTGTGTCTAGTTGTTCTGGTGTGCAGTGCTCTGTACCGTCGTTTTGAGGGAAGGAGTTGAAACAGTTTATGTCCGGGATGTGAGGGGTCTGTAAATATTTTCACAGCCCTCTTTTTGGCTCGTGCAGTATACAGGTCCTCAATGGAAGGCAGGTTGGTAGTCATTGTTTTTTCTGCAGTCCTAATTATCCGCTGAAGTCTGTTGTCTGTCCTGTTGGGTTGCAGAACCAAACCATTTTATTTTTAGTTTATTTTTATTTTTATAAACAACTCAAGGCGACGAATATATCACAGCTTTCTCCTCCTCTTTTCCCCACAAGAACAACCCTATGGGGTGAATTAGGCTGAGAGAGAGACTGACTGGCCCAAAGTCACCCAGCTGGCTTACGTGCCTAAGGCAGGACTAGAATTCAGTCTCCCAATTTCTAATGTGGTGCCTTAACCCACTAAACCAAACTGGCTGAGAAACACTGGATTAGATCCTTATACTATTTAGTCATGAAGTATCCCACCAAGAAGCTACTTAGTCTACACTACAGCATTTAAACTGAATGAAAGTATTCTGCTTATTTTAAGACAGGCGGAGTGAGATGAGCAAAGTGTAAGAATCCTCTTGTCCATAAAGGATTCTTTAATTCTTTACCTGTAACCTGTTATGCTTTCAGTTGTGTATTCTGGTGAGAGTGATTTTTCCAGGAAGCCCCCAAGCAGGGCAATAGCCTTTTTCAGCTGTTGGTTTCCAAGATCTATTGTTTGCAGATAGACTGCTGCTGTACATGGAAGTCCTTGCTCCAAAACCACACGCTTCATGTTTTGAAGCAAATTAAACAAAACTAGCCAGCACTGTCATTGTAGCAATAGCACTTAGACTTACATGCCGCTTTGGACTGGAATACGGGTCTCCAACCTTGGCAACTTTAAGACTTGTGGACTTCAACTTTCAGAGTTCTTCAGCCAGCTTTGTGGCACAGCGGTGGCAGCCCAGGAGTTGGGACTCAACCAGGGCTTGTGGCAGCGGCTGAGGCAAGGGCGAGAATGGCGGTGGCCTAGGCCGGCCTGGGAGTTGAGACTCAACTGGGGTTTGTGGCGGTGAGGGTGGTAGTGGCCTGGGAGTCAGGATTCAACTGGGGCTGGCAGGAGCAGCGACAGGTAGGCGACTGGGGCTTGCAGAGCCTCACTTACCCAGGGAGATCAGATCAGGCAGGGCCGCGGCAGAAGGCAGGCAGTGATGGGCGGGCGGGTGGGTGAAGGCAGACTGCAGGCAGCGATGGGTGGAAGAATGCAGGCAGCGATGGCGCGTGGGCAAGATAAGTATGGGGCGGGGATGGGTGGGGCCAGTGATTTGCACAACATTGTAATGACCAGTCCGAACTGGTAGAATCCCACCCCTGGGTCTGTAGATCATCATTCGATGTGGAAACCATCTTTTTTTTTTCCAGTGGAGTGTGTGGAGAAAAAGATGAGAAACCTAAAATTATTGAGAGCACAAGAATGCCAGCCAGTCCAAGCTCTTGGAACTCCTCAAGGTTTCACTGTCCGCACAGACAGAGAAACAGTGTTGATCAGCACCGAGTATGGAATTGTGGAACTGGATCCCATCACACAGGAGGTGAGGGTTCACATGTTATCCCAGATACGGTTCTTGGGTTTGAAGAATTGTCTCACTAGCAGGGGCTGTGGAAGGAAAACTAGATGATATTGCTGCCTTGTTTTAATGGAAATTTCTTTCTTCAAATGGTTCGTTAAATTAAGGTTTTAATTTTTGAAAAAAAATGCTATACAGAGAGCCCTATCAAATTTTGGAAGAACTTGGGAGTATCCAAAAATACAAAGAAAATTCCATTCTAATTTTTTTTCTAAACTGTAAACATGTTCTATCCTTAGAAGTTACAATCTGTACTTTTCTGATAAGACTTTTTAAAATGAATATTCCTTTTCTAAATCTAATCACTACATTTTATTGTTAATTTGTGCAAGAAGAAGCTGAATGTTGCATTCAGTTTAAGTGTTGCAGACTAATTAGCTTCTCGGGGGGATACTTCATGATATAATAAATGTTTCTGCCTGTACCCTAATTTGGAGCAGCATCAAGACACAGATAAAAATCGAAGATGTTTGGATTTGTTTGTCAATCTTTCAAAAAGATAATAATGATCCAAGCAATATCTAGAACAAGAATGAAAGATTTCTCGTGAACCTTTTTTTTTTTTTTTTGGTCTTTGTTTTAAAGGTCATCAACGAAGTTACTTTGACAACTGAGGGTTTTCTGCCAGAAGATGGAAATGGGTGTATTGTGGGCCTGGAAGATTTGCCAGATGTAGAATCAGTCTGCGTAGCTACTGCAATTGGCGATGTTATACTATGCAATCTAAACACTCACCAGGTATGGCAGAATGGCAAATATAGCAGTGCCCAAATAAGATATGAAATAGAATGCAAGAACACAATGCCTAACACAAAAGTACTTGCTTTAACATAGCTAGTCTTAATATAGTTGTTGCCCCTTTAAATAAATCTATTGGCTTCTTGAACATAAGAATAAAAATAACTAGCTTCTTGAACATAAGAAAAAAAATAGCATAAAATACTAATCATTATATGTATATATTTTCTGTGGCACTGTTTAGCCTTTAGCTCCTGAAATTCAATGACCCCCAACATTCTAACTGTTATGGAAAGCTAGGAAAACCTGGTTTTCCCCATCCATTGGGCCAGGGCATTAGATGAGCTCATTTTCTGGGGAATCGAATGTATGTTTACTTGACCTTGGCAATATGTTGTCTGTTATGTTGCTTATGGATATAAATTTCTTTGATTCTGTATCATAACGTTGCCAGGTTCTATGCAGCAGCACTTAAAATCCATCAGAAGATGACCTGTGCCATTCTTTTTAGATTCTTTTTAGATTTAAAAAAATACAGTATTTTACATTTTCATAATATTTTTAGAATTTGATGTAATTTTTTTACTGTGATGTCTCTTTTATGCCTTTTAATTTTTTTGTACCCTATCCTCCTTTTGCTGGCTTTTGATCATAATAAAGATTTGATTTGATTCAGTTGCTAAACAGGGCAGTCATTAAGTAAGGACTATCTGTAAAGACAGAGCTAGTACTCCTGGTTGTGCATCTATTCTATGCTGCTTCACAGGGCTAGTACATACAAACA